AAAAAATAGACCGGGCAAAGGACGGAAACTATATAAAGATATTAACTTATTGGAATTCATTATATAATTACTCTACAATTATTAGATCAACAAACTGTGCCAAAATCTTATATTGGGTTATTTTACAATATTACAGGATACAATATATTGGATGTATCAATATTAGCCAATAAAGTTTAAAAGTAAAATATCAAATAATATAGACCCACAGACAGAGTAGACAAAACAAGACCTCACGTTAAACCGGAACCTCAGCCGACCAAACCTAGTGCACCGGAAACAGACCCAGAACCAAGGAGCACCTGCAAAAACAAAGCCCGAAGGAGAGGAGGTTCCCCAAGAGAAGCCGAAGACAACCACGAACACAGACCAGTAACTCAGAATTTTCGTAAGTTTGAATTTCGGGGCGATGAGAGACGAAGACGAGAAGCGAGGCACGAATCAAGAAGGAGGAGAAACCACGAGAAACATGGGAAGCCAGGCAACGTACCACCTGCAAGCGGAGGAACCTGGAAACCAGACATCTGACAAACCCGACCCACAAGCCCAAGCAGAACCGTAAAACAGGGGACTTTGGACCGCCATGGTCATAACCCGCCAAAGTCATGGCAGTTTGCGCCCGCCCGCTGTGGGTTCCTGCTGGCTGGAACACATTCCAACTCACTGCGCTTCAAGTTTCTGCTGTCGCACCGTCACGGTGACATACTGCGTAACACGGCTCGGCCGGTCCAAGAGAAGTTTCACAAGGTTCTAAAGCGTCAAAGGCAAAGGTGCCAAACAACCCAAATTTGCGACCAAGAGATGCAAAGCGCATGTCTGCTGACCTATCAAAAGCCGTGAACATCACCACCGTGAAAGTTTTGCAGGTACGTCGAAGCGGCCAACTCTGAACACGTTATCATTCATGTTCTTGGGCCCCGCCACTCCCTGCCCTGTATCTGAGAGAAAACATGTGGAGTCCAAGGACAGGGCCTGTGTGACAAAGCAAAAACTACGTTCCCTGGCATATGCCGCGCGCACCAAGACAGAGCTATCATTTCATGAAAACGTTCATCTCTGTTCCCAGCTCTCTCAAGTGATCTGGTGCCAGCCTGAGACTCCAGGCTTGAAGCAGGGTGTTCACACGCAATAGAAAGTTGAGCACGTACGGCTGAAGCTTGCCACCGCCCAAGGAAACTTAGGTGAAAAGCGCCCTGAGTAAAACAGGTGACAAATGCAATGGGGTCGAGTCTTCTCCAAGTGCTGGAAGTTTAATAGTTGCAAGCGGTCTGAGTCCCAAGGTGACAGGTCCAAGAATGAAAACTCAAAGTGGAAGAACATGCGCCTGACTGCAGAGCTTACAGCCAACGCAAAGGCCAGTCAACATGTGATCGCGGCCGGTATGTCAGGGTACAGTAATCAGCCCTGACATCTGCATATTTTATACTGTGGCCGCTTCGATGGACCATCGCTCACAGCACATGGATGGCCCCCGCTTATCACAGAGCAAAGCCAACTTTCCAAAGATATGCGTCACTCAACACACACACACACAGATATATATATATATATAGAAACGGTGTACGGACATCGATGCGGCTTTTGCCACACGCCAAAAATGCCTAAGTAAAACGGCAGAGGTAGGTTGGAGGTCATCCCTAGGAAGGTGGAGGCCATCGCCCAAGTTTAGAGGCCATCGCTAGTAGGTTAGGTGCACAAGCTGAAAGCGACACCAAGCAACAAGGTTGGAGGTATTCGCAAATGGGTTGGAGGCCAGCGCTACAAGTTTACAAGAGCAGCATCAAAACAACAAGGTTGGGGGGCATTTCTAGTGCGTTGGAGGCCATCGCACCAGGTTTGAGGCCAGCGCTACAGGTTCACAAGACACAAACACAAACTCAAAAAACTCAAAACCATCCTCGGTTAGAGGCCGTTGCTAGTGGTTGGAGGCCATCGCGTCCAGGTTGAAGGCCCGCGTTACAAGTTTGGAGGCCTCCTGCAAACCTATAGAGTGGAATAGAGAGAACACAGAAGGAAAGGCGCCGACACACAAGTGTGTCGAGTACCATTTCCTTGACGTGGAAATGGCGTCCCATTTCCATATCCTCAGATACATCGCCAGCTTCGTTGACCAGGCGACGATGTATCTGGCCTGGTCCCCTCAAAACCAAAAGGTTCCCTGTCAAGGGTTCCACACACACGCCCCCCCGAAGGGAGGCATGCATGGCCTCCATCCTGCCCGGAAAGGAGGCACCCTCATCCTGCCCGGAAAAGGGGGTTGCGTGGAGCACGTGCGCACGCAAAAGAGACAGATCAAAATGAAAGAGACGAGACGGACAAAAAGCGCGTGTTTTTTCCGATGAAGCAAAACCAGAGAAGAGGGACAACCGATGAACCAAACCTAACGAACCTGGCGCGCCTGACCTAGTTTAAAATAGAATACGCGCGCGCGCATGTATGTGTACAAGCTAAGGGCCGGGCGAAAGCGCACGCAAGAGAGAAGAAGGATGAGGATGACGAGACGTGAAAACAGAAGGACATGAAAGGAAAGAAGGAAAAAACGTCTGTGGGGCCAATGAAGAGGGAACCAAGTGAAAGAAGACAAACCGATGAGAGACCAAACCTCATTGAGAAACTTTGCAGAAGTCTTGTTTGCTTGTAGGCATGCCGCGCGCGAGAAAGGAGGGGGGAAAGGAAAGAAGAAAAGAGAAGAAGAGAATGGTGTTCCCAGCTACGACTCAAAGAGGAAGGGCTCCCAGCTATGACGAAGGCATCCAGGGACCAAGCAAGAAGGAAGGGGAAGAAAAGAAAGAGAAAGAGAGAGAGAGAGAGAGAGCGAGAGAGAAAGAGAGAGAAAGAGAGAAAGAGAGAAAGAGAGAAAGAAAGAAAGAAAGAAAGAAAGAAAGAAAGAAAGAAAGAAAGAAAGAGATGGAAAAAAGGAAAAAAGGAAAAAAGGAAAAAGGAGGAAAGAAAAGCAGGTGGACAAGTGTTCCCAGCTACGAGCAAGCGTCCAGGGACACACCAAGGAGAGGGATGTACCTGAGCATTAAATTCAGCAACAGCCCAGAAGACAAAGAAGGAAGAGGGGGAGGGGTAGGGGGAGGAAGGGGTTAAGGCCTCAACAGGCTCCAATGAGCCTTGAACAAGCTTCGGCCGCTGCGGCCACGTATGCCGTGTCAAAATGGCTGGCTGCTCTTACAGCCGTGGTCACCTAAAGGCATGCCCGGAGGCGGCCAGCTTAGAATTCAATAGTTCGTCAAGTCTTGACAAAAAACTTTGGCTTAAGCCACCTACGCTCGCTGCGAGCTGCTCTGTATCCGGGCAGGGGATACGTTCGACAAACCCCCGACGGGTCCAGAGGGGGCTCACCTGGGCTGACTCGAAGGTCAGACACACTTATAGAATGGTGTACGGACATCGATGAGGTTTGCCACACGCCACCCTAGGTAAAAAAATCCTAAGTAAGACGGCACAGGTAGGTTGGAGGTCATCGCTAGGAAGGTGGAGGCCATCGCCCAAGTTTAGAGGCCATCGCTAGTAGGTTAGGTGCACAAGCTGAAAGCGACACCAAGCAACAAGGTTGGAGGTCATCGGCCAGCGCTACAAGTTTACAAGAGCAGCATCAAAACAACAAGGTTGGGGGGCATTTCTAGTGCGTTGGAGGCCATCGCACCAGGTTTGAGGCCAGCGCTACAGGTTCACAAGACACAAACACAAACTCAAAAAAGTCAAAAACCATCCTTGGTTAGAGGCCATTGCTAGTGGTTGGAGGCCATCGCGTCCAGGTTGCAGGGCCGCGTTACAAGTTTGGAGGCCTCCTGCAAACCTATAGAGTGGAATAGAGAGAACACAGAAGGAAAGGCACCGACACACAAGTGTGTCGAGTACCATTTCCTTCTGCTTAGTAGAGCAGGTACGTGGAAATGGCGTCCCATTTCCATATCCTCAGATACATCGCCAGCTTCGTTGACCAGGCGACGATGTATCTGGCCTGGTCCCCTGCTCGAAACCAAAGGTTCCCTGTGATTCCAAGCATTCCATACCCACTTGAGATTACGCGTACTGATTTGGTTGCGGTTTGCCACACGCCGGCCTAAGTGAAAAACCTAAGGAAACAGGGTTCAGATCTCCACAACTCCAAGTTCTCAAACCTCTCCAAAGCTCTAGGTTCCAAATTGCAAAGCCGCGAAACGATCGATCGACAAGGACGACGAAACGTGAAAAGTTTGCAGATGAAGAACCGTTGCAAAGGCCACAATCTTGTTGTTTTATTTTTTGCAGGGACCAATAGGAACTTTCCAGGTCACTGGCAGGTACGTAGTTCTGGCGTCCCAAAACTATATCACTGTGCGAGAGATGCGTCTTCGTTGGCTGGAGACATCTGAAGCACACTCGAGCCCCCTGCGACTCTATTAAAACAAACCAAAGAACGCTCCAAACGGATCCCTGTGACTCCAAGGGTTAAACACACACATGACCTGATACTGTACAACGGAACAAGTTTGTTGAACTTGTTTGAATGAGTCCTGCGCGAACCAAATGAGCGAGCCAAGCCTGCAACTCTCTTGCTGAAAAGTGAGCTTCATCGTCTTGCTGCAAAAAGCACCGCATCGGATGATTTAGCACTGATGGAGCGCTGAGCTTAGATCCAAACATTCTTTTCTAGCTCAGGGCCCCGCAGAACTTTGGCCATTGCGGTATGCGCAAAACGACGTTGAGTACCCTAGTCATTACCACAGTTCTCTAGGCCCAAGGAATTTGCTGTCCCTGGCCAAGTTCTCCAAACAATCTGCTCCCGCTTTGTTATTGGAGCAAACAACACAAATGTTTGAATGGAACCGAGAGTTCTAACTTCCTTGTGCTGCTCATCTTTGATGACTGAGGGCCACTGCACCACTACTGCACTGCTTGACCGCGCAGCAAGGGTTCCGAAACTGATCAAAGCTCACGAAAGCAACTTGAGCAGGATTCAACTTCAAACTACAAAAGTGAAAATTCTGAAACGTTGGGCACAACAACTCCTCCAACATGCGCTGCGAAAAGCCACCAGGGGCGCAGCCTAGATCCTTCAGGAATTCTCAGAAGGTTTTGAACCGCATGATCGTTTCGGAAAGGTAAAAGGTCACATAGGACACTAGAGCGTCTGTCCATAAAAGCTGTTTTCTCTTTGAAAGCCGCCGGGTGCTTCTCGATCGCTTCTGAAAGCACCTCCCAGGAGAAGCTCAAAGGCTGACTCTGAGCGTGGACAATGACCCGCGAATTGCCTGGTAAGTCTTCGTGAAGTGAATTTGCGCCTTGGCTTAGTGGCTTGGAGCTCAAAAGAATCGCCTTCAAGCTGTGCGCGTTGTCCCTGTCTTTTATACTCATGGCCTTGAACAACCCTGACCTGTCTCAAACAAATCATTTGGTTGAGGCTGCGTGCAGCAGTTCGAAAGCTTGGTTAGCAGTTCTAGGCTAGGGAGGCACGAAGTTCTTTGCATGATGTATGTATTTGCCAATCAAACACAATCCCTTTGAGGTTGCTCTTCTACAAACGGCACCTCAATACACATGATGTGCAGGGAATCCACAAAGCTTGGACCCACACGTTCCGCTCATCCTCCACAGTCTTGGGCCCAAGATCGGCCTTGCAAACACCAATGGGTGAAAAGCTGGAAAGTTATCTCAAAAAGCTGAAAAGCTGTTGATGGCCAGTCATTCATGACTAGCTGAGAGTTCAGATTTACATAATTATATACAGGGTTTGTCTATCCCAGTTTGAACTTGTCTAACACCAAGGTCTGCAATTGTGAAAGGGAGACCTCAATGATGAGAGCACTCAAGGGTAGGCGCTCGGTTTTCGGGAAAGAAAGTCGCATCAGTCCACCGGCACAAAGATCGCAAGCTTCGTCTTGTTGCTCCATTGGTGATTGTCGCATGAAGTGTCCGCTATCCGCTACCAAATGAACACATCGAAAGACTGCGCATCTTTTGTCACTGCGAGTTCTTCGTCGTCAACTTGCTTTTCACTTGTCGGCGGAAGGGCCTTGGTTGGGCTGCTCCAGAAATTCTTAAGTGTCCCTAAAATCTAGGAACCAAATCATTAGTGCGAGCGCTTCTTCAAGGAAGCTTCCCCTGCCGCCTTTAGGGCGGCGGGGAGAGCTTCCTTGAAGAAGCGCGAGCTATCCTGTGTCCTAGGTAGTCTTAGCTACTTGCAGGTAGTAGCTACCTTAAGCTACTAGCTACCCCTAGCTACTAGCTACCTACCTCACCTCCACTCCCGGCCTACCCCCCTAAAAGAATCATTAAAAAACGAATAGAATAATAAACATAGTGAAAGGGTTTCTCCATAATTTCACACACTGAGATGTTCACGCTTCTTGCGTGCAGGCGGAGTTCCACCCTGCCCAGCATCGCTTGTGGACCTATGACCTGACTTTCGATCTTTAAGCATGGCCTCGCGGAAGTTGTTCTTCATGCGGCGGACAATGTGCTTCACGTAACTGTCCAAGCACACGAATGAATCATTGATTTCGAAAATCTTCGAAGCGACTTCGCCCCGGTCTCAACCAAAGGAAACCAAAGGAAACGCCTCATTCGGCCAGTTCCTGGCGCCTTTCTGCGCTTGGCCTCAAGACATAAACAGATGGATTGCTTCTTAGTTTCTCTGTTTCTCTGGATCTTTACCTTGGTAGCGTCACGGTACCGTTGGTACCTTCTTCAGGTCAACACTTCGGGTGAATATTGGTGACCACCTCCTTATCCAAGCACCACACCTTCTTCGACCACTCGTACGAGCGGATCTTGGCTGCAGGGTACCCGCAGGACGCCTCATCGCAAAACACTGCTTGGCGGGAAGCCACATTAGAAGGCGAGTGGTTCTGTGGATTATGCAGGAAACGGCTCACGAACAAGTTGTGTAGCAACGAGCAGCACAGAAAACTGGATCCATATTCTTGAAACTAACTGCGTAGAGAAAGACATACACTGGCCAGACAGAAGTTGCGCTTCTTGAGACACAAACTCATGTCAACCCTTATCCCCTAGAATCCCACATTGAGATACCTGGACCCGTGTGGGCGGTCATTTTTCACACCGGACAGCCTTGTATTGATATAAATTTAACCCGGTGTGATAATTGATCGTCCCACACCTGCCACGCAAGTTGGACTTGGTAATTCGATCCGCAGCTGACCATACAGCGTTTTTTTGAACATGGTTAACAAGCATAAACTTTTGTCTGCCTGAAGTATGAGCAAGGGTGTTCATGAGAGTGCTTGTCGATGTTTTCAGAAAGAAAAGCAAAAGGACATGAATCACCTCCAAATCCCTGCCACGACACGCATTTCTTGTTCTGATTGTGGTAGGAACGCTTGCCGCATCTCGGGCACATAGAGTGCGTCCTGAAACCCGAAGTTTAGACTCGTGCTTTAACAAACAGGTGCATAAACCGTCAAAACGTCTTGTCTTGACTGTCCCCCATCGTTTCCTACTGAGTATACATATCACAGGCAAATGTGGAAGGTCTTGAATGTGTCTCGAAAGAGCCCGAAGTTTGATTGGCATTGAACTTCACCCGCTTCCCCTGAAAGCTTGAACTATTATTTATATATTGTATATATTATATATATATATATAGTAATGTGTATCCCTTTCTTAATGACTTAAGAATCTGGCTTCTTGTGTCGCTTGCCCATGGCTGGAGTGCCATCTCCGCCTGCACAGTCTGTGGCTTCTAGACAAAACGTGTGACATGCTGCGGTCAAAGGCCTCCATACAAACGAGGAATCACCTTGTGGGACAGGGGTACAACTTGAAGTGTCAGGCCAAATGCAGCTGAAACAGATTTGAGGATCGATCTACAAAACACAATTCCATTTTTGATTAGCATTGATGGCCGAGGCTTGAACCATGATCGTGGAGCCTTCAGAGACCTCATTCGCGTGGAGACGTGCAAACACTGTTTTGCAAGAATCTCATCAACCTTTGCAGGCCTGGTATTCTTCAAGATTTCCACTTTCCAAGCACCTCACAAAGAAAACAGAAGGTGCAGCACAAATTCATCAGCCGTGACATCAGCTGTGACTGATCCCTTCCCGCTGAGAGAACCTGCCAAAGCCCTTGTTGATCTTGAGGTTCCCCTTTAGTCTTTAGTAGTTTCTTTAGTTTCACGTTTCCAGTCCACAAGTGCTGTCATAAGTTCCCTGCTGCCCACCGAAGCAAAGCACATCCTCTGCGCTTACTTGTGCCTGAGCACCACATCCAACGAGCGGACAACCCGAATGGACTCCGATCCGACCCGGAGAGCAAAGCTGGTCGTGCCTTCAGCTCATCAATGGCCAAGCTGCCCTGCACCGAAGGCCACAGAAATGAAGGTTCTTAGCCAAGACCACTTTCTAGAAGGTCACCCTGACCTCGAGATCATCCCGTGTTCTACCTGAAGGAACCGTTCTGTGGGAAAGAACCCTTGGTGGTGGAAGAAAGTTGATGAATCAAAGGAACCTGATCTGTTGCTGACGGTTCCCGTTTGGCCCCTAGGTGTCAACCCTGACCAACATCAGCTTCTCCAAAATTATGAGACGCACTATTACAGTATTGTTTTGTACAAACAATGCATCATCCATAGAAAAACTGCAGCGATTCACGTGTAGCAACTTGCATGTTTCCGCCTCCACCTCAAGCGCCGCAGACTCGCCATTCGGAGTCCTTTGACGCTGAAAAATGCCGAGCAGAGATCTTCAACGCTTTTGTTCACCCAAAGAAACACGCTTGCTGCGCAGAAGGAAAAGGCCAACGCGTCCTGAGAAAGATCTGCATCTCCCTTCTACAGGGCTCTTCTAGAAAACCCGCAGTGTCCTTCCCTGCCCGAGCCAAAACAGCACCATGCGGCTCTGAGGTTATGTAAGCTCTTCAGTGTGTAGTAGACTGGCGCATCAGCCCTTCAGCTTCCTGATCTGGGACTGATTCAAAACGAAGGGACACCAAACCACGTTCATCTACTCTTCCTATTTTGCAAGGGTCACCTGAGCTATGGGCATTTGGCCAGGCAACTGCGTCCTGCGTGGTCTGCGCTGCATCTTCACATCATGTTCCAAAACTCCCAACCCTAGCCTGGCTCCACCAGCCATCCCAGGCACCTGCAGCGCCTGCGACACCTGTTGGAGCACCGCATGTCCAGCATTGGCACATCAAAGCTTCATTTTGGTCAACAGCAAAATCAGAATTTTTGAAAAGTGCACTGGCAATGGTGGAAGCTGAGCAGCTCAGCTATCTCTACAGTGGCGGCTATCTCTACACTGTGTCCAAGACTTTGGGACACACACAAGTATCACCGGCAGTCGCGTCCACTTCTTCAGTGGATCACATGATCAGAAGCCTTCTACGCCTCGAGCAGGTTTTCTTTGCTTTGCATGGTTCATCATTGTCCATGCCTGTGCTTTCTGCAGCACAGCCAGTTAGCTGGGTTTCAGGCACAACATCAAGGCGGAACTCCAGTTGGGACAAGAACCGCGCTGCCATCCTGGCACCAGCGAGCCAATTGAGCAGCATGTCGACCCGGTCTAGTAAAGGGGTACCGGGTACATGTTGGAAGACAAAACATCTACTGTAAGGTTTGCCGGTCACACGCATGTCTTTCCGCAGGTCAAAGGGAGCCTCTATATGTCCGAGCCCCTGCCCCAAGACCTGTGTTTCGTAAAGGCAAGATGCAGGAAGGGTGTAGGAAGTCCCGCACAGGCTCAATACCACCAATCTTGACTTTCCAGAACCCCCATACACTTTTTCGCTTCATTTATTTGGCCAGTAGGGGCACTGTGAAGGTCAGCCGTTGTGAAATCCTTGAATTTCAAGGCTGCATTCATTTGCCATGTGCATTGCTTCAGGAACTCAACTCAGTTGTGTTACATAAGTTTTTTAATGTCGAGGTTTCTAACTTGGAGTGCATAGAAAGGTACCATGGCAGCTTCATCATGGACCAGAGTGTTTCCCAAAGCTAGCACCCACCAAAGTAAAAAAGAGTTAAATTGTGCCAGCATAGACCCTAGATGGCAAAAGATACTTGTGGGCAGCACCATAGCAGCGGCACCCGTCCGCAGGCTCCAAAGCGCACACTGCCATAAGCATCTGGCAGCAGCACCCTGCAGCGACAGCCTGCAGCGCCCTCCAGCACCCAGACTGCAAAGCACAAACGGCCAAAAACATCTCGCAGCAGCACCTTCGAGGGGCACTCTGCAGCGGCACAAGACACTCAGGCTCCAAAGCGCACGGAGCCATACACATCTCCTGTAGCGGCACCAGCACCCAAGCTCTAAAGCGCACACAGGCACTTCCTATACTTGAATGAAGTAAGAACCCCAATAGCTCCCGCTATCTGAGGAAATAGCTCAGCTTCACAAGCAAAACTCATGGCAGAGTTACTCGTCATTTGGCTGCCATTCCAGCTGCGATCGTGCCTACAGTCAACCCTACAGCCAACAGGCCAACTGATTAACGTGGTGGTAGTCGTGAAGGCAGCCAGTCAATATTATTCAACCAAGTGCTTCACGGCATCTACTGCAGCAGGAAGGTTGCCAAGACGAAGCAACACCTTCGGAATGAATCCAGCATCCCCCGCAGGTCTCCAAGATTTCAAAAGCTGTTCATGCAATTCAAGGCATTTACTTTTCAAATCTCATCATCGTCATGCCTTGCTCTTGCAAAGTCGTGCATAGAAGAGTCGTGGATTGATCCTTAGCACCCAACACCTTCATCTCAACCAAAAAATCAACATCAATTCAAGAGGCTCAAGATCTCTTGTTTGTGGAGTGAAAATTGAAAACACTTGATGCTCCCTCAATATAGAAGCAGAAACTTCAGAAAGCTGTATATAAAGAAGAAAAAGAATAAAAGCAAACCGCAAACCTCTGTGACTTTGGCTCGAGAGCTTTGTCCAAGAGTTGAAGGGCTCGATGATCATCCTGTGAAAAAGCCAAATGAAAGCAACTCAAAAAATGTGAATTGGGATGCATCAATAGATAGAAACTTAGGCTTCCCAAAAAACCTAGGAACCAAATTAATAGTGCGAGCTTCTTCAAGGATTCTCTCCCCCGCCGCCTTTGGGGCGGCTGGGGGAGCTTCCTGGAAGAAGCGTGAGCTATCCTGCGTCCATGCTAGTAGCTACTCAAGCTACTAGCTACCGCTTCTACTAGCGACTCCCTAGCTACCACCTCTACGGCCTACCCCCCTCTCTTAAATAAAAGATATATACTGTGTGTATATATATATATGTGTGTAATCGATGAATGTCGCATCTTGCTCACTGAGGCTTTGGCAACTCCAAAGAGCTCACCACCCAAGTTCGCCAAAGCATAGGGGTTCCTGGCAATTAGCACCACCTTTTGCAGTTCTCTCTTCTTCTTTGTGGGAAGAACGGAGGTGGGGTAGCTAGAACGCTTTATATAGATAGCTTAGTAGCTTAAGTAAGTAGGCGACACAAAGCCACTAGCAACACGGGCACAATAGAGTGAGTTCTCCTATATGTTAGGGAAATGAAGTTTTAGCTTTCCTTGCTCTGATTAAAAGAGAAGAGCGTTTCGCATTGCAACACAAATATCATTGAACCGCTCATCATAACTCAGGCTGAGGAGGACTCATCATCCAACTCGATCGCTCGTTCCAAGAGTTCCACCTTCTTCGACCTGGACAGTGCAAACGTGCTGAAGCTCACGGCGCTGCACGGCGCACGCTTGCGCCGGTCCCCCGCACCGGTCAGGTCGCAGCCTGGAATTGACAAACAACGTCAGGCCGTTGACCTCAGCAAAGTTCCAACATGACGATCTCTGGCTGTGGAGAATGTGCGAAAACCCATCAAAATGGGTCAGCTCCAAGGGTTTCTACCCGAAATGGTCTACCTGAAGATGTCAAAACATCATGTGTGTTTGTGCATTCAATTTGATGTCACTACCATGAGGACTCCCAAGAGAATTAGAGCTTGAGAACACAAAGTAGTGAGTAGAGTGGCTTCCCTTGTACTTGGCTTCTGTCAAAAACATCGGGTGGATGAACCTCAAGACCTGAGTTATCAGCCGCGTAAGAGCATTCAGGGTTGTCTCTGAATGCTTGCTCGTAGAGGTCCTTTGCCTGTTGCAAAGCAGTGCAACAGTGCTAAAGTATTGAAGCAGTGTTCTGTTATTCTTCTTCAAGCAAATGAAGACACCAAGATTCTCAAAGTGTAAGTTGAACGCTGTTCAACCTGGCATGTTCACAGGTGACTCAGGTTTTCGACCGACCGCAACTGACCCACTCAAGGCGGGTGGGATTCGCCCTTGGAAAAGGGCTGCGCTGTTCGGCGCCTCGCGCGCCGTCTTGGTTTTTCGTTTGCTGGTCGACTTCGAGCGCGACTACCACATTTGCATTGGTAGCGGAGCTCCGGCTCCAGCAACCTTCGCTTGAACTTGTTAGAGGTCCTGCTTAAGCCCTACGTCGCCCACACTTAGCCGAGCACGAGATTGACCTCGCTCCGTTGCTCTTTTGGTTGAGTGCTTCCTCCATGCCACCACCGACGCAGGCTGCAGATCCGCAAACGGCGGAGTTTCAGAATCTTCGAGATTCCTATGTCCCCCTCTTCAATGGTCAGCCTGCAGAGTACAAAGAATACCGCAAAAGGCTCAGTCTCTACCACAAGAAGATGCTTTTGAGCAAAAGAGGAGGGGAGGCCGTACTGAATATCATCGGGTCATTCACCGGAGTTGTCTGGCGCCTCTTTGAGGACTTCCCGGTCGAGGATTGCGAGAAGGAAGATGCCTTCAGTAAGGTCCTGTCCCGTTTGGACCGCAACTTTGAGTATGACGATCGCGTCCTCTTGCCGAATGACTTCGAGAACTACTTCACCAACCTCCAGCGGAAAAGTCAGCAGAGCTTATTGTCCTTCGTGACCGATCATGATGAGGCCTATCGCAAGATCACCGGCCACAAGATCACTTTGCCCAGCCAGGTCCAAGGTTGGCACTTGCTCAAACGAGCCGGCCTGACCAGAGAGCAACGACAGATGGTGACCCTGAAGGCACCAACACTCGAGAAGGCCAATGTGATTGAGGCTCTCTTTCTCCTCTACGGCCAGGACTACAAGGCCGGAGGACGGTCACCTGATCGCCGACCACAAGCTCGATGGGAAGGACGAGGCTATGCTGCCTTCGATGAAGAGCCCAATGAATCCACCTGGGACGATGCCTACTATGAAGATGAATGGTATGAGGCTGAAGAGCCCTACGTCCCTGACTATGAGGACGCAGCCTTCGATGATGAAGCCATCTACTATGGAGGTGAAGATGAGTTCAATGACGACTACGATGGCTATGATGAAGATGCTGCTTCCATGGCCGAGGCCTACGATTCTGCGTATGCCACCTACATGGATGCTCGGCAGCGCTTCCAGCAATTGAAGCTTGCGCGCGGCTACTTGCCGGTGGTCGCCTTGACAGACGGTCAAACCGCTGCTGCGTCATCCTCTACCTCTCCAACAGGTCGAGGAAAGGGCCATGACAAAGGCCGTGGAAAAGGAAAAGGAAAATCCAAGTCGAAGGGGAAGGGCTCCAACACCATTCGCTACCCTCCATCATCAGGAGGCAAGGCCGATCCTAAGGGAAGAGCAAAAGCTGCCACTGCATCGATGACATGTCTCCGTTGCGGCCAACTTGGCCATTGGGCCGCCTCATGTCCACAGAATGCCAAAGGCAGTTCATCACCCAGCAACAAGCGTCCAGCTCCAAGTTCAACGACTGAAGGAATGGCTGTTGCTTCGGAGACCGCACTGGTCCTCTTTCAGACTTTCAGGGTGAGCATGGACAAGATCATCCCGAAGCAACGATGCTGGACCCTGGTGCTTCCGCTTTCCTGAGCGGCTATGGTCCCTTCAAGCGCTATGTGGAGCACTTGAGCGAGCTTGGATATCCAGTGAACACCATCAGGCTCGCTCACTGTGAGAGAAACTTCCAGTTTGGTGGTGATGCTTCCTCCTCCGCTCGCTGGACAGTTGACCTTCCGGTCATGATCGACGGCCAGTACGGCACCATCCAATGCTACCTGATCCCCGGCAACACTCCTATGTTGATGGGAAGGCCAGTCATTGAGGCCCTCCATATGGGGATTGACTTCAGTGGAAAGCAGGTTCGCTTTGGTG